CATTTCTAAATGTCACCTGCTTTTTTTTTTTTTTTTTTTTTTTTTTTGGTTCTGTATTTTCTTTTTGGTTATTGTTTTTGTGTGGAGACAGAGTCTTGCTCTGTTTTCAGGCTGGAATGCAATGGTGCAGTCATAGCTCACCTGACCTTCCAGGCTCAAGTGACCCTCCCACCTCAGCCTCCCAAGTAGCTGGGACTACAGGTGTGTGTGCCACCACACCTGGCTTTTTATTATTATCGTTATTTTTTGTGGCAACAAGGTCTCCCTATGTTGCCCAGGCTGGTCTCGAACTCCTGGCCTCAAGTTATCCTCCCATTTGGGCCTCTCACAGTGCTGACATTATAGGTGCGAGCCACCTCACCCAGAATCCTTTATTTTCTTTGTCACTGAAATTCTTCTTCCTAATTTTTGTTCCCTACATTTCTTTTTTTGTTTTTTGTTTTGAGATGGAGTCTTGCTCTGTCACCCAGGCTGAAGTGCAGTGATACATTATTGGCCCACTGCGACCTCCACCTCCTGGGTTCAAGTGATTCTCCTACCTCAGCCTCCCGAGTTGCTGGGATTACAGGCATGTGCCACCAGGCCCGGCTAATTTTTTTGAATTTTTAGTAGAGACGGGGTTTCACCATGTTGGCTGGGCTGGTCTCAAACTCCAGACCTCAGGTGATCCCGCCCGCCTTAGACTCTCAAAGTGTTGGGATTACAGGCATGAGCCACCATACCCAGCCTTCATGTCTTCTTTCTAGTCTAATACAATCCCTGCTGCTTCTTTCTGCCTCTTCATTTTTATTTTTTTGCTTTAGTGTCATCTTGGTACTTCCATTGAAGTAAAGTTATCTCCTGTTCAATCTTCATCATTTAAACACAGATTCGATAATGCTTCTCCCTTCTTTAAATCCCTTCAGGAAGCTGGGTTATGTTATCCATTCCACCTTTTTTGGTCTTGGAAAAATTCCATAATAAAAAGTAAAAATAAGAAAAAACCACCACCTTCAGTGACTCTCGATAGCCATTAAGAAAGGCCTCACATGGCATGTTCTGGCATGTGGTTACCTTCATTTTTACTAGCATAATCAACCTGTCCCACTTTTCTTGAGACTTTTAGCTGACAGTTCCATATCCTGGGAATTCCCTCAGTCCTATACAAATTAGGACAGTTAGTCACCCTGTGTCCCACCTGCTCGCACTATATGTTCCCATCATGCCAAGCTATGGTCCATTTCCCATTTGCTCCTTACCGTTTCTCTTCCAAGCTTCTCCTGCCTTGTTTCTTCTGTCTGGGACATGTTTTTCTCACTCTCCCTGACTAATTTCTACTCATCCTTCAGGAGCTATCGTAAGTCCCCCAAGACTGAGTTAGTTTTCCAGCCTGCGCTTCTGGAGCTCCAAGTTTTCTTCTGTCATCGAGCTGATTACATTATATTGTAGTTTCTACTTTTCTTCTCTTTTCCTCTTGTCAGACTAAAAGGGAAGGGGTTTTGTTTCCTGAGTCGGCTACAGTCCCTGGCTTAGTGTAGACCCTCAATAAATGTCTGTTTGATGAATGGCTAGTTTTACATCTAAAATCATGCTTTACATGCTACCTACTCCTCTATTCAATTTCCAAGTTAGTTTCAAAGCTGCCTTTCTTCTGGGAGCATTCTGAATAAAGTAGCTAAAAGATCCTTTTCTGAATAGCCTTGCAGAAATGAATTTGTGTCATGTAATCAGTGATGGGTATATAGTTTAAATACAAAAAGTGAATGTGGCTGCCGTGGTGGTTGATACTTGTAATCCCAGCACTTTGGGAGGCCCAATGGGAAGGATTGCTTGAAGCCAGAAGCTTGAGACCAGCCTGGGCAACATAGTGAAACCCTGTCTCTACAAAATATTTGTTTAATGTCTCTTATGTACCAGGCTTTGTGCTAGAGAAAACAAAGTCTGCTCTGTATGTGCTCACAATCTCTTGGGCGTTGGGGGTCAGGGGAGCAGGGAGAGAGTTAGACATGAATAGATCATCACAGCATTGGGATATAAAAGCTCTCTTGAACACAGGAGAGCAGTTACTGCTGTCCAAGGAGATCAGGAAGGGCAAAGGCATTTTTGTGAACTTCATGTTATTGTCAAGGTCTTATGGTGGAATATTCTTTCTTTATTGATAAGGACACAGAGCCCAGAGAATTTACTTTACTTTTTTAAGATTACATAGCTAGTCAGTGATAAAATTGGCACCACATCTACATGTCTTCATTTTCAGTTAAAATGCCATCCCTTTCTTATTGGGCCCTGGGGCCTCAATTAACCTTCCTTTTTAATTTTCTGTGTGACAAGTTATCTTCAAGATTGTACAGCATGCTCTTTAAGACAGTTTATATATTTGTTTGCTTGCTAGCTTCTCTGTGTGTGGTATCACTTGATAAAATTTAAACTATTTAAAATAAGTCACCTCTTACCAGAATTTCCCATCCTCCCCCAAAGGCAGTCACAGTTAATAGTGTGTTATGTACCATTCCATAACTATATCATATAATCACAAGCATCCACAGTGTTTTATTTTGTACACATGGCTTCATTTAATTTTTTTTCCTTTTAGTTGCAGATTATTTTCCTCAAGTATCAAAAGACATGTGATTGGTGGTATATATTTAATATTACAGGTGAGGAGACAAGGATTAAGAATGGGAAGCTTGTTGTAGTTACAGACTCTTGTGGAAGAGTAGAGTCATCTGGGAAAATATCTGAACCTATGGAGGCTCATAATGAAGGCTCTAACTTGGAAAGGCAGCTGGCCAAGCCCAAAGAGAAGACTGACTATAAATGCTCAGAATGTGGGCAGGGATTCATCCAGCACTCGGACCTGATTGAACATGCGAGTACACACACGGGAAAAAAACTCTGCGAGTCTGATGTGTGTCAGAGTTCTAGCCTTAGAGGACACCAGAAAGTCCTCTCTAGAGAGAAAGGTCATCAGTGTCATGAGTGTGGGAAAACCTTTCAGAGGAGTTCACACCTTGTCAGACATCAGAAAATCCATCTTGGTGAGAAGCCTTATCAGTGCAATGAGTGTGGCAAAGTCTTTACCCAGAATGCAGGCCTTTTGGAACATCTCAGAATTCATACTGGAGAGAAACCTTATCTATGTATCCATTGTGGAAAAAATTTTAGGCGCAGCTCTCACCTTAATCGACACCAGAGAATTCACAGTCAGGAGGAGCCCTGTGAGTGCAAGGAGTGTGGAAAAACCTTTAGTCAGGCCCTACTCCTCACCCACCATCAGAGACTCCACAGTCACTCCAAAAGCCATCAATGTAACGAGTGTGGAAAAGCTTTCAGTTTGACCTCAGACCTTATTCGACACCACAGAATTCATACTGGAGAAAAACCTTTTAAGTGTAGCATATGCCAGAAAGCCTTTCGACTAAACTCACACCTTGCTCAGCATGTAAGAATCCACAATGAAGAAAAACCCTATCTGTGTAGTCAATGTGGAGAAGCCTTCAGGCAGAGGTCAGGTCTTTTTCAACATCAGAGATATCACCACAAAGACAAACTGGCTTGATGAGGTGTTCTCTCCTTGTAGAACATCAGAGAGGGCACATTGACTAGCACTTTAGGAAAAGTCACCATAGCCCACTGTGGCATCAGAAAATTCTTGGGGGCTGAGTTGGAGGCTCCCTGCCTCTGTTTCCTCTCCTTTGCTTTCCTTGGAGTCAGCTTTGGACCACAATAATTTCACCCTAGATGGTATAATACGATCAAAGTTAAACAGCATTCTTCACTGCAGCACATCTCAGAGCCTTTAACATTACTGCATGATTATATACTCTAAGCAATAGAGAGCTTCATGACTAAGGGCTTTGAAGTCAGCAGTGAATCAAGTGCCCACAGATTTGCAGGCTTAAGCAGAACAAGGGAAGATTGATATTTTTGCATATGCTATAGCAACTTACTCTTATAAAACTCATGATGTTGGAAGTATACCACTCTCAAAGGTGTCTTAAAGTACAGGTTAATGGTGAACATTTTCCCCCAGTGGCTTTACGTCATTCCTTCCACTGGCCTTACCCTTCCCTTCCCCAGTGGAAGCATTTTCTTTTTTTTTTTTTTTTTTTTTTTTTTTTTTTTTTTTTTTTGAGACAGAGTTTCACTCTTGTTCCGCAGGCTGGAGTGCAATGGCGCGATCTCGGCTCACCGCAACCTCCGCCTCCTGGGTTCAGGCAATTCTCCTGCCTCAGCCTCCTGAGTAGCTGGGATTACAGGCATGCGCCACCATGCCCAGCTAATTTTTGTATTTTTGGTAGAGACGGGGTTTCACCATGTTGACCAGGATGGTCTCGATCTCTTGACCTCGTGATCCACCCGCCTCGGCCTCCCAAAGTGCTGGGATTACAGGCGTGAGCCACCGCGCCTGGCCCAGTGGAAGCATTTTCAAAAACAAAGATAATTTTTGCTGGTTAACTTTAAAACTTGCCTCAGGGTTAGCTTCATGTAATTTTGCCATTTCCCATCCCCATCCCCACCACATTATCTCATTATTCAAGTTATAAATCAATATTTTACTTAGACTGTGAAAGAGATTTATGAGTCGTTTGAGTAAACCTTGCTGAATTAATCTGAATAGCAACTGTCTGTCTTGATAACTCCAGTGCCAGTATAGTGATTGCTGCATAGACACTTTTGTTGCCCAGGCTGGAGTGCAATGAGGCAATCTCAGCTCACTGCAACCTTCCCCTTTTGGGTTCAAGCAATTCTGCGTCAACCTCCTATGTAGCTGGGATTACAGGCATGCGTCACCACACCCAGCTAATTTTGTATTTTTAGCATAGATGGGGTTTTACTATGTTGGTCAGGCTGTTCCCTAACTTCTGACTTCAGATGATCCACCCACCACAGCCTCCCAAAGTGCTGGGATTATGGACATGAGCCATCATGCCTGGCCTTCAGCTGTAACTTTTTGAGACACCAAAAAGTTACATGTAAAATCAGTCATTGTGTGTTGCTTAGGAAGCCAGACAGCTATGCATGTTTTATTCTGCCTTTATGAATAAAATTAAGTTGATGTCTGGAATTTTCCCCCAAGTATTTTGAGGACTATGATTATGTCAGTATCTAAACATTTAGCACCATCTCATAATTTAAATCTATATGATTCTGTTCAGTTTAATAAAGTTCATAGAATATATTATTATGAAAATGAAAAGATTCAAAATGTGAACTACTTTGCCCTCACAATCATCTGGAAGATGTATATTGGCCTTCTCCATGATGATTTTATAGAACAGGTGTAAACATTCTAAATTCATTGACACCTTAAACAACTTAATTCTTCCTTATGGGTCCAAAGGAAGTGGTGTTCTCATCATTTCCCTTGGGTCAGACCCATATCCACCTGGGCATAAATGTCAGCTAGAGGTATGTTTAACTAATAATGTCTTCCTACTACTTTATTCTTTAAAGTTATGGAAACATTGAACAAAGGGCAAATATCGGAACAAATCTCAAGGCTTTGCTTGCAGTGAAAGACATCCTAAAAGGCAAATTAAAAATCCCTGTTCAGAGGACAGGAACCCAGGAGGGATGTATTGCAGCAATATTTTCTACTGATCAGGCATTTCTGTTTGAGTAGTATCCTGTAATATCCAAATATACAGTGAAGTCCGAAGTCACTGTCTCCCTTTCCCACTCACTCACTTGTTTAAAAACCTGATAAAGTTACTATGTAGTTTGCCATTAAAAGTAGTACGGAGGCCAGGCGCGGTGGCTCAAGCCTGTAATCCCAGCACTTGGGGAGGCCAAGGCGGGTGTATCACGAGGTCAAGAGATCAAGACTATCCTGGTCAATATGGTGAAACTCGGTCTCTACTAAAACTACAAAAAAAATTAGCTGGGCATGGTGGCGCGTGCCTGTAATCCCAGCTACTCAGGAGGCTGAGGCAGAAGAATTGCTTGAACCCAGGGGGCGGAGGTTGCGGTGAGCCGAGATCGTGCCATTGCACTCCAGCCTGGGAACAAGAGCGAAACTCCGTCTCAAAAAAAAAAAAAAAAAAAGTAATACGGAAACATAGGAAAGGGAAAAAGTAATCCTAATTGTCTATTAATACCTTCATATATTCTTATTAAATTTATGTCTGAAAGAAGTTGATATCCATTGTTTAAAAAAACTTGAAAAATGTAAAATCTTGTTTCATGGTACAGATACAACATCTTAATGGGTATTTGTAGGTAACTGATATTTTTCACACATAAACAATTGACTCTTCTCACTGGACTTTATATCTTGAACAGTTTTTATCTGTAGTAGACAGGATAGTCAATTTACCTGTCCTCACACCCTGTTCTAATCTGCTCCTGCCATAATCCTGAGTGTGCAGCTGCCACGTGACCTGTCTCCAACCACTGATGATTGGCTCAGGAAGGGACCCTCAAGCCAGGCTTTAGATGCCCATAGGAATTTGACATTGGATAACAGATTCTGGTTGGTATTTTTTAGGCACCTGAACCCAAAAGTAATACAGAGTTGGAGGCAGGGCGCAGTAGCCCACTCCTGTAATCCTGACACATTGGGAGGCCAATGTGGGAGGATCACTTCAACCCAGGAGTTCGAGACCAGCCTGGATAACATGACGAAACCCCATCTCTACAAAAAATAAATTAGCTGGGTTGGTGGCACACACCTGTAGCTCCAGCTAAGTGAGAGGCAGATATGAGAAGCTTATTCAAGCCCAGGAGATCAAGGCTGCAGTGAGCCATGATTGCACCACTGCATTCTAGCCTGGGCAACAGAACAGGACCCTGTCTAAAATATACATAGAAAAAGAGCGAGAGGACACAAGTGCACACTGAAACAGTTTTTGTGGCCACAAAAAACACGGAGACAAACTGAGAAGTAAAAAATGAAGCAGACGCCTGTAGTGGGAATCCCATGAGGGCCCGGAGAGACTCAGGTGTGGCAGCTTCAGCCCTCAACCTCTTTAATCCATATCTATCCTGGCCTTGGGATTGCTTCTAATAAAGGTTTCAAACAAATCCCTGATTAAAACGTGCAGATCATTAAAAGTCTTCGTGGAAGATAATTTTCCATATAAGCTGTGCAGTATTCTATGGTATATGTCCCTAGTGTTAATCATTTACACCATTTACAATTTGATCACCATAAACAATTTTTCAGTGAACATCCTTGTATATACAACTTTGCCTACTTACAGAATTTTTTGTTTATTCAGTTCCCATAATGAGAATCAATGAGGCAAAAGGTAGGCATATTTTCTAAGGCTTTTGATACATTTGCCAGAATGCCATCCAGAAAACTTATGCTAATTTGTACACCCTGTTAGCAGCCTGTGATCACGCCCAATTTTCCATGCCCACCTCTGGGAATTAATCGTTGACAATCTGATGTGTACAAAATGAATTGCTTTTTTTTTTTTTTTTTAAGATGGGGTTTCACCATGTTAGCCAGGCTAGTCTTGAGCTCCTGACCTCAGCCTCAGCCTCCCAAAGTGCTGGGATTACAGGCATGAGCCACCATGCTTTTTTTAAATAAACTATTTCTTAGAGCAGTTTTAAGTTCTGAGCAAAAGTGAGAGGAAAATACAAAGATTTCTCATATACTCACTGCTCCCATGCATGGATAGCCTCCCCTGTTATCAACATCCCCTACCAGCGTGACATTTGTCACAATTGATGGACCTACATTGACAGACTATCACCCAAAGATCATAGTTTACACTAGGGTTCACTCTTGGTACAGGTATTGGTCTACTTACCACCTATGCAACTTACAACCATTCGACTTGACCACAATCGCTAGCCACGACTGCTCCATGTCTGGCAGCACAAACGTTGCCCAGCTGGGCGTACAACAGTGCGGACCAGCTTCCAGCAGCACTACCATCTCTGCGTGCACCATTTCAACTGTACATATAGCTTACTCAACTTACGACCAAATCGCGTTACGACCGGTCCGCGGTCCCGATCGTGGTCGTAAGTCGAGCACTAGCTGTATTGCACATTTTATGGGTTGGATAAATAAATTATACCATATCCACCATTGTAGTTTCACTGTCCTAAAATCCTCTGTGCCTTACCTATTATTCATCCCTCCTTTCCTCCAGCCCCTAGCAATCGCTGATCTTTATACAGTGTATAGTTTTGTCATTTCCAGGATGTCATATACACAGGTTGAGTATCCCTAATCTGAAAATCCAAAATCCAAAACGCATTAAAATGTGAAACTTTTCAGCACCAACAAGATGCCACAAATAAAAAATTTCACACCTGACTTCATGTGACAGGTCGTAGACAAAATGCAGTCAAGACTTTGTTTCTGCCAGGCACGGTGACTCACGCCTATAATCCTAGCACTTTGGGAGTCCAAGGTGGGCGGATCAACTGAGGTCAGGAGTTCGAGACCAGCCTGGCCAACATGGCAAAAGCCTGTCTCTACTAAAAATATAAAAAATTAGCCAGGTATGGTGGCACATGCCTGTAGTCCCAGCTACTTCTGAGGCTGAGGCATGAGAATTGCTTGAACCCAGGATACAGAGGTTTCTGTGAGCCAAAATTGCACCACTGCACTCTGGGCGACAGAGCGAGACTGTCTCAAAAAAAAAAAAAAAGACTTTGTTTCATGCACAAAATTATTTAAAATGTATAAAATTAGCTCTATTTGTATAAGATATATAAAACAAATGAATTTCCTGTTTAGACTTGGGCCTCATCCCTAAGATATTTCATAATCTGAAATTGGAAATACTTCTGGCCCCAAGCATTTCAGATAAGGGATACTTAACTTGTAGTTGAAATCATACAGTATGTAGCCTTTTCAGATTGCATTTTTTCCACTTTGTAATATGCATTTAAATTTCCTCCATGTCTTTTCGTGCCTTGATAGTTCATTTCTTTTTTCTTTTTCTTTTATTGGTTTATTATTTTGAGATAGGGTCTCTGTTGTCTGTTGCCCAGGCTGGAGTACAGTGGTTCAATCTTGGCTCACTGCCTCTGCCTCCTGGGTTTAAGCAATTCTCCAGCCACAGCCTCCCAAGTAGCTGGGACCACAGGCACACACCACCACGGCCAGCTAATTTTTGTCTT